GGGGGGGGGGGGGGGGGGGGGGGGGGGGGGGGATTGGAATGCAGTAAAGAATGAAAGTTGACCTATGAAGATGGAATGTGTAGTGATTGAGCAACTGCTAGGTTTATTTTGATTTCCACAGCCTGGGAATACGTATTTTAAGTTATTTCACTGATAAATTGCTTCGTATGATTTAAAAGATTAAGGGCTTAGAATGGATTGCCATTAAATATTCTGCTGTATTGATTATTTAGACGCCTCCTAAGCAGTTGAGAGAAATCAATAAACGAATAGTATTGTCGTAGAAACATCATCTCATTCAATGATTTATCTGTATATATTAGATATCATTATAGAGTTCAATCTGAATGGGTAGTTAGTGCCGTTGAAGGACTTTTGCATGCGGATGCAAGGAGAAATACAATAATCCTATTACGGTTTTTGTTAGCAAGGTTTGAGAATTAATGATTAATCCAATTGCAGCTGTCATTGAAGTCCAATATCTAGGTTAAACTGTGTTTTGGCATGTGCATAGGAGGTTGGTGAATTGAAATGAAATTAAGCAAGTTAGGTCGATTAAAAAAACAACTTCCAATGCTATAATTCTGTTTTGGATATCATATCTAATTTTGCCATAACTTTTACAGGTAGTCAGTCACACTCTATGATCACCTATGTTGGCGTCAAACATGACCTTAAACATTATAGTAACTAGACTTGCCGTGATTACCTGTCGGGGATGTGCTTAGCTTTTATAATTGACCGTAATACTAACCAGCTAAACTATATTCAGTATTGCCTTATCTGATCCCAATTAGTTTCATTACTGGAGTCATTTTATCGAAACTGCTTAAACCGAGTGGAGGTAATTGGACAAATTGCACCTTTGAATAAGGAAATAGACGCATACTTTGTGTATACGGATAAGGAGGTGTAAGACCATTTTGTAGTAATCATTTTTATTTCTGCTTCACGAGGTATGCGATAGACTTGCCTCCACGTGGTGCAACCTGGGCAACGTTTAGTCATACAGCAAAAAAAGTCTATTAACCGGCAGTTGACTTCTCACTTTAAACTACAATGACCCCATTGTGTGCCATATTCTACCACTTCCACAGTACTCACCTCATCTTACCCTTTTCTCTACCTTTGTGTCTATCTGTCTCTTTTGCATCGGTGTGTCACTCTACTGTTACCCCTATCCACTTTTTCTCACTTTGTCTGTTGCTCCCCTCTGTGAAGCCCGAAGTCAGCTGATGGGCTAATGATAACTAACACAAAGTCCACCATTTGAAGTAAATAAATTTCTGCTTTAAATTGCGAAAGCTTCCCATGACCATCGATAGACTGCCTGCCATTTGGGAAGTGGTAGGTTTCAACTTATCTACTAGATAAAATTGCTGAACATTCATTGATTGACAATTCCTTGCTGAAACCTAAAGAATTCATTAGTTGTATTTCTCATGTGGTCAATTTTTATTCCCCGAATGAACAAACCGATGAAGAACTCTCAAAATTCATTTCAAAATTGTTTTTTTTTTTCAGACAACATTTTTGAGTCCTTAAATTCCATTTTCTTTTCGAAATCTTTTGCTATTTGAATGATGTCATAAAGGTAGGCGGCTACTTCACGTCATCCCTATTCAATTACAATCACATTTATAGAACATTGAATCTTGTTTGCCTACTCCCCCTCACTCACTCACCCACCCACTCCCTCTCTCTCTCTCTCACCGGTTTCTATTCAATCAATGGATACGCTTCCTCACTCATCTCCGTTCACTCGATTTTCCCAGTTCATTTTTTTCACAATGTTTAGCTCAACTCATTAACAGAGAAGCACATTCGAATTTGTGAACGTAACTGCTTATTGTATAGGGACAATTTGTAATTTCAAGGCGTTCCGTTGATCCTACTTGACAGTTACTGAGATAAGGGTTTCGCTGCATGCGTCCACCCATTGGAAATGCAGTAATTAATAAATTATGTACAGTAATCATTCATGCCCTGGTAATGCTGACAGTTAATCTCATAGTTGGAATAAGTCTAAACACGTCGTTTGGTCATATAGACTCACTATTTGAAATACTTTAAATATATCACTATGGGGTGTGAGAGAGACTTACCTCCACGTGGTGCACCCTGGGCAACGTATACTCATACAGCAAAAAATCTATAAACCGGCAATTGATCTCTGACTTCAAACTACCATCACCCCACTGTATTTCATATTCCACCACTTCCACAGTACTCACCTCATCTTTTTCTACCTTTGTGCCTGTCTCTTTTACATCTATGAATCATTATTCTGTCTCCCCTCTCGACATTTTGCCAATTTGATGTTCCTCCTCCCCTCTGTGAAGCCTGAAGTCAACTAAAGGGCTAATGATAACTATCAAAACGCCTGCAATTTGATATAAATAAATATATCACTATGACATTTTAAGAAGACACAGTTCAAGGTGAAAAGGTAGTAGAAAGTGGAAGAATAGCATTAATTTACGTGGTTTTTTAGTCATGGAAGCAGAATAAGTAATTTTGGAAACTGGAAGTCACACAATGTCAAGTTAAGAAGTTGACTTCTAGCAAATGCTTACCAAATGTACTAAAGCATTTATTCACCGAAAAGGGGTGCACTTGTTTATTTACATCACAGGTCATGTTTCCTTCTTACCTCCTCGTGTGATTGGTTGATTTTCCTAGCACAACCAAGTTATTCGATATTCATTGGACGCCAAATGCGGCTTGATCTTATATCAGCGTCCCTACAAATAGGTCTTTTGATAATTTCTTGATGAAGAGCACCTGAAGATAGACTCAAAACTCTACCCGAATTCGTTAGCCTTGTCTGCTCATTATGCGGTAGAAGCCACACCTCCCTCTCGATTACCCCTGGTGAAAACTCCGGGGAATAGAAATTTAGATTGGCCATACTTCGATACTGCTGTGGACTTCCAATCGGCTTTTGTTGTATACCTCCAGCAACTGGAGATGTGCCGAAGTATTCAGCACTGGTACATCTAGTTAAGTAGGGTTGGTGTTGTTTAGTATATCGATTTGAAATTCTGTAATTTGACGGGGTCTGTGTACTGTATCGCTGAAAGTAAGGTGAAATAAGAATGGGCGGCTTATAAGCATACTTCATATCATCACGACACAACCATTCTCCTTGGTCGTCCTTTCCCATTATCTGAATTTCCATTTCCTCGTCTTCGACATACCGATTTCGGGGTTTTGGAGTAGGAAAGAGGGTGCTCTCAGGTGCCGGGGTACCCATTTCTACGAACATCACGTCGGAGGGGCCTCTATGGTGTGCTAGAACTGGTGAAAATCGGGAGTTTCTTTTTTGAGCATCTTCAGGTTGACTTTTGTTTGGTATTGGTGGAAGTGTCATTGGGTAGGAGGGAGGAATGAGGGGTCTGTTTTCTGGCTGGAGAAAGACAAGCTCGGTGTCGTAGTTATGTGCATTTCTGTGTGGAGGAACAGGAGGTGGTGATCGTGGAGGAAAAAGCTGAGCTGAAGAACTTCTGAGGGGCTGAGGTGTAAGTGGAGGCAAGGTTTGAAATTCCGTGGTTGTAGCAATTGTAGGTCGAACTGAGAAAGTAAGATAAGCCAAAAGTATGAATTCCTTAAATAAGCACCAATGATACTACAAAGATGATGAGCAAAAAATGATAATTTAATAAAATTATTTCAAAAATAATTAGGATTCCGTGTGCAAGGTTTGAGGACATCGGAAAAGATTGAAGTTGAAATAAGAGAAAAATATACTTCTCCTGGTGTTTATTTGATAAATTTTAAAAGATTAAATCAAATTATATTTTTAAATGAAATAAAATATCTGCTAGACAAAATCATGAATCTTTTGAAAGTTGTTAAGTAAACAGCGGCCTTTCATTAAGCCATTCCCCCTTCTATTCACGTCCTTAACGCAATTTCGTTGCTTTTTGCGTTAGTTTTAGTTGGAAATCATTACAACTATTGTTTATCATAAAATCGTTAATTGCCAACGATTGCCAACAGTGGAAGAATCTCAGAAAGCATCAAACGAATCATTTTTTTCTGTCTGATTTACTAAACTCTCAAGGATTCTCTCTGCTCTTCATAGAAACGAAGCTTTTACATCTCTCATTCATTCATTAATTATATTTTCAATAGCGTTGGTAGAAAAAAGAACCATTTGATTAATTATGCATTAATTAGAAGGAAATTTAATTTAATATATATTGAAGGAGAAGTGGAATAGAGATGATTTAAATGTAGTAAATAAACGGTTTACTTTGTAACTGTGTTACTTAAAAAAGATGCCCTCTTCCACTGACCAGTCACATAATAATATTTAAATTGAATGTCTGAAGGGTTCAGCTGATTTTCAGCTTATTTAAACGCTAAAACTCTTACATTCATTAAAATATCTTCCCATAATTCGTATCTATCTGAAGCAATGCATTTAAATATGCAATACTTTTACATTTTGGGAATGTTACCAATGCGCTAATGGAAATTTTATTGATGGACATTTACACTGAACGTATTCAAAGTTGAGCACACCTGAGGTAAGACGTACTCTTATAATCTAAAAAGACAAAACACAGAATTCATTGATTAAACAGGGTCACGGAGTGTAGAATTCGCTAATTCTGAATACTTTAAACTATAATTTTATCTTTTTTGTTATCATGATCAATGAGTTTTAGAATTAAATCGCGTTTACATCGCACTAATTTCCCGCAACGAAGCACTCGTATGCAATAAGTTAGATTGATGGAGTTATTTCAAAGTAATAAATCACTCGTTGATGAGTCTATTTTATTTTCATCAAATGAAGTTTCCAGCTCTTCAAATATTTTTCCCCCAATCGTTTAAAAACGGATTTTACAATGCGACAGTATACCATAATTGTGATACCCAAAAAATAGGACCCACCCCAGTTTTTTTCTCGAGTAATTAGACCAAAAAGACTGGAATTACCTCGAGATAACTGATTGGCTAATACGAATTTCGTCGGTAAGCCCCATGATTTAAAGTAATGGCAGTGTTTATGAGAGCAGAAAATTATCGATTTTTCGCTCTGTAGAGGAGCAGGCGCGCGTGAGAGAGTACAAATGCACACCAGCACACACACAGAAATGGTGCCCTTTCTTTCGATAAATCCGCTTAATATGTGCACACGCTATCGAAGATGTGCCTTCAATCTACTCTGCACACGTTTGCGCAGACGTCTAACTGCTTAATTTAATTGCCTTAATATAAGTGTATGTGCGTGCCTTCTTACAACCAGTACCAGATCAAAATCAATAAACCATTCTTAAACCGAACTCATCTTCTTCACGAAAACGGACATTCGAACAAGGTCAAATAACTGTTGACAAAAACGTTAAATATCAAAAATGACATCTAATGTTAAGACAAGGTATTCAGAGTAAAGTCCATCTCATTTTCTTGATACAAAAAAGTTAAATAGAATGACTAAAGAAGAACATTGAATAAAATTACTTTTTAAGATCTTTAAATTTTGGCCACATTTGAGATGTTTGAAAAGCTGTATCTACCCCCCC